CAGTAACAAAATGCCCCAGTTGTACCAGTAGTGTAAAACCGGTTACTTGCGAAGTACCTAATGATTATTTCACTAGCAACCCCCACTTTTGCAAATCGAAGTTGTTCAGCTGTAAACCATTTAGGACCAATTGACAGATCTACTACTAAAATGTATTTCTACGTTATTCTTAGTAATTGACCAATACTTTCTTATTCGTTGTTCTATTTCTAGCTCTGTTGGTAAGTCTTTGTAAAGTGCGACAACTGAGTGAACCTTGGTAACGTATGAAGTAGCAGAGGGGAAGACGAAAACCTGTACTATACGACGCGACGGGTCCCCGACGTCGTGCATTGCGAAAATTGCGTTTACCCTGACGCGATGACCCGCGTATATGTATATTTAATCTCGCGCCAATCAGGAACGTTTTGCCCGCATTCCTTCCACACAGGTTCACTCACTTGTCGCACTTTACTGTGTACTTGAATAGGTGTATTTCTCCTGATCTAATTCCGTGATTTATGATGGTATTTTTAAATATATGGTATTTCTTACCCGCCAACTTAAACTAGGCCGTTCAACATATCATTTCCAGGTTGAATTCCGATTTCTCTGGAATGTTAGTGATTAACTGCAAAAATGTCTTTTTTAATTTCAAATGCATGAGGCGTTTTTTTAATATTAAAGCTTTGTGATAGTTATCCCTGAGCGTAATTTACATATAGCTTTTTATTTTGCCCTATGGAGGTAACGTTGATTGAAGTTTTTTCTAATATTTTTGCTACAATTATTTATGTCTTTGTCAAGTTCGCAAATAAAAGAGCTGCTCCTCTGTTCACTTATACATATTCTCTGTTGTTTTATTGATTTGATACCAAACATATTGTTTACACTTCCTATAAAACCTGTCGGTTCTTCATTTTCATAATAATATACTATTCTTTATTCAGCAATAAGATCGCTGATACAACATACAAATACAAGTAATCACAACCTCGGTGCCCCACTCGCCACTTCAGGCATCATTATTAATATAATCACCGGTCTATAACGTTCTACGTTTTCCGCTTTCTGATATCCAACCCATCTCTTTTTGAATCTAGGCATCCTCCTCCTCTAAGCCTCTTTCTCTCATTTCCCCATTTACTCTACTTCTCCAGCTTCTTCTCGGTCTGCCGTGTCTTCTTGTCCCTCCTGGCTTCGACTTAATGATTTGCTTGAGTTTTCTAGTCTCTTACCTGCTATTTGGATATTATATCCAAACCAAATCAGTTGTTTGTGTTCATCATCTACTACTATTTGTGTCTTAAGTTTATAATTTATCTGTCAAGTTTGTTATCTTTCCATTTTTTACCAACCACCGCTTTCCTCCATTTCAGTTGCTTCCAGCATTTTTGCGTTTCTGTCCTTCTCGGTAGTCAGACCTCTGGGTTAAATGTGACTATATACTTTTAAAGATAATATTGTAAAGGGTATTCCAATAAGAGTTTCCGGATGTTTTTTTTTCAATTCAAACGAAAAGGAAATATTTATTACTTTATATCAATAAGTAACATGATCATTTACAGTTATACGTTGTTGCAAATAAAATTGAAATTTGTTACTTTAAGACAAAATAACCTAGGGTCGTGGAATTCAAAAAAATTAAGATAACGTGTAGTCCCTTTAAGTGCAAATGAAACCACCCGAAATCCAACAAACAATAATTTTATTTGATATTTACCAATGTTATGTATAACATAGAGTAACAGTAAATGTTACTTTCTGTAAAATTTTAGTGTTGACAGCTTGGTTTTTCCGGTGAATCTGATACCATGTACCTTTCCAATCCGGAGCTCTTCAATGGGTGTTGGGGTTTCACTTTCGTGAACTGGAGCTCTTCGTGTTGTTTCCTGTATCCAGGAAGAGGATAGAATACTGGGGTGACGTCACTCCAGCTGATCCAGAGTCCAAACAGTGATCTTTATGTGGAGTAGGTACCCAGAAAAGAATAAGGCAGTATCAGGTTCACCAATATTTGGAATATTAAACCCCTAAATTCTGTCAAAGAATGAGTGTGCAAAGGAATTTGATATTGAAATTTAATATAAAACGATTGTTGTACAGACACTCTCTTCCAACAGAATCAGGTATGAACAGCTATTGCAAGTTGAACAAAAAAAAAATTAATATAAAAAAAAAAAATTATATATTTGAGAATAATGATAAGATAATAATAAAATTATAATAATAACAAGATTAAATTAAAATGCTCGTTATGATTGAGTAAAATGCTGCTTTCCTGACAGTAGCTCTAGCAGGCAAAAATATGAACGAAATAAGCTAAAACAATAAGAAATTAAATCTTTGGATTCTCCCCTAAATAGACAAAATTTTCCTTTCAAATTAAGGTAGCTACTATAGATACTACAAGATAAACCTAGGGTTGAAACTAATCAAATCCAGAATGTGTCAAAATTCTTGAGATGTTCTAATTAAGACTTTTTTTCTGAATTTTTGACCTGTCTGGATTTCTATTAAAAAATTACACCCTTTAGTCGAAATAATAATTGACGGAGTCAAACAGAAAATGGCTATTCAGGCCTCTGCCTGGATTCAATGAAGAGTTGATAGGGATGGACACACAAATTTGGTTTTCACCGACTCTAGTTAGAGAAAATGGTCCAATATTCCCACACTAACAGTTGCTTTTGAAAACCAGAGCAGCAGTACCTTTTTAAATCCAAAAGTCTGAATTGACTTACATCAGGAAAACGTGGCACTACCAATCAACACTCACACAAAATGGAAGCACCCAATTGGATTTAAAAAAATTAAAATATAATATTTATATTTCAAGAACATATAAGATAAGATTTATCAGGTAAAAAACTTAATAATGATATGATATGAATTGATAGCAAAATATATTGAAAAATCTATAAGGGAGAATCTAAAAATTAAGAGCAAAAATTACTGAAAATAAAAAGGACTTGCCTGCCAGACTTCTGTCGAGGAGAGAGAACGTTTTAGAAACCAAAGCCCACAGGAAAACGATCCTGTGTTTTCTATGCTTAACTGCATTTTAACCAGTTCAACCAATCAGACGAGTACACCCAAAAGATCATATTCACTTTACAATGAAAACCCACGTGGAATAAAAAAGAATAGATAAAAATCCACTAGAATTATTTTAATGGTTTACAAATTATAATTATTTAAATTAAGGTTAAGTCAAATATAAAAAAACTGTTAATTAATTAGCCAAAAAATAATTATTTCAGAATCAGAAGTTAGAGAAAGAGAAATATATCCATTTGCTAAAAGTGAGTTAAATATAATTTCTTTCAATGAAAATACAAATGACTGTCAAATGCGAAATAATTAAAATCATACTTTGAAAAATAAATCCATCAGGTACTAGATGACAGTACCTTCATTTAATAGATATTTGCATTTTACGCCCATGATGGATAGATGGCAGCACTTGTATTATTTTGAACTTTGTGGATATTTTTAGAATACTAGTATAGAAAATACAACCTTATGATGAAAATAAGAAGAGATGGAACATGTTACGTAAATGATAAATTTATCGTAACAACATGAAACATGATATCCAAGAAATGGCCACCGCAACTTCTCTCACAGGACACAATTTTTTTGCCAAAATTTCTTATCACATCTGTGCACATTTCCGGTGGTATCGTATCTCATGAATAATGCGCCGAATCTCATCTCTCAACTCTTTAATTGTTTGGGGATTGTTCACATAGGCTTTACTTTTGATGTAACCCCACAACAAGATGGCGCAATATGTCACACAGCAAGAGAAATCATTGACTTATTGCAAACACAGTTTGAAGGTAAACTTCTTTCAAGAAATGTGGATGTTAATTGGCTGCCTAAATCTTGCGATCTTACGCCACTAGACTTTTTTTTATGGGGTAACATCAAAGCGTATGTGAACAATCCCGAAACAATTCAAGAGTTTCAAGAGTTGTTATTTGTGAGATACAACCGGAAATGTGCACTGCTGTGATCTAAAATGTTGGCAAAAGAATTGTGTGCTGCGAGAGAAGTCGCGGTGGATATTTATTGGATATTGTGTATTTCACGTATAATTGTAAATGATCATGTTACTTATTGCTACAAAATATCAAATGTTTCCTAGTTTGTTTTTCGTTTGAATTGAAAAAAACATCCGAAAACTCTTATTGGAACACCCTTTATATTCTAATCTTGTCCATTTTTTTGATACTTCTGGTCCCATACTATACTCTATTTGGTAGAGATATTGTCTTCCGTGCTTGTATATTGCGATCCGTAACTGCTTCGTCTAGGGTTCCCTTATGCGAGATTTTCATTCCCCAATTCCTAAATATTTGTATTTAGTGCATTGTTTTAGTTCTTGTCTGTTATTCTCTCCCTCCTAGGTAACATTTGTACAATAATAATAATCTTATTAATTATGATGATCATCCCATCACGGGATCGCAAGGGCATGTCTAGAACCGACACTGGACATGGCAGCGCACCGTCGCGTCGGTGAACAAGATTTGTGTCCTTGTCGCATAAACCCCGATAACAGAAAGAACAACAAGGAAACCAAACCATATCCAGGGATCCAACTGCACAGGAACGTCCGGCATTACTCTGGCAGGATTAGCAGGAAGGCGTATGAAGTGGAAATTGTCCCTGCATTCGAGGTGTTAATAGATAATCGGCTACAGACAACAACGGCATGCCAAAACCTGTAGAAATTAACCAAACCTACAAGTATCAGAGCAAAGATTAGCAGAAAACCCTCCACCAAATAATATTATGCGATAGGTTGGGTTAGGCCTTCAAACTGAGAATATCAATGTGTGTATTTTATCTGCTTCTTCATCACCAACTGATGCTCTATAGACCCTTCTTAGGGCTGGGGGTGAACCTGTTGTACTTATAAGTATACATATAGAAGTCGGTTTCGCAATAAAGAAATAACTCTAAAAGAAAGAGATTCTGTGAATAATATATATTTATATTTTTTTTTTCAGAATACAACAAATTTATATCACCATGTTACCACAAACGAGATTACTAATATTACAAAAAACATTAAGCAGCTTACTATCGAAGATGTGGCTGCTCTAAACAACGGTCATCACGATACCCAGGAGGTAACTTTGATTCTCAAGTAACTATACAGGAAGCTAAATCAATATTCTTTCTAGTTGCGATGGTGCAACTCCGACTTGAACACAACCGAAGCGCTCGATCAACAGCAGCTAAACATTCAACGCCAACGTGCGGAAAACGGTCTCAGCAACAATCGGGTGAATATCAACAGCAACCTGGCGGCCCGACTGAGATTACATGCGCAAAATGCGCAGAACAACGTTGCGCCGGTCTACAAAGACGAGCAGCTGATGCCGCAGTCACCAGATGATGATTATGGTCAGTAGTTTTTTACATAAAATGAAGCATTTTTTGAGCATTTCAATTTTTCCAGACGCGCATCAAAGTTGCAGCTCGTCGGCTTCAGCTTCACCGCAAGATGAAGATCGCGCCTTTGATCCTTCAGACTCAGCTGAGTCTTCCGACGAAGGCAACGATTACTCAACAACCGACATAAGACAAACTTCAGTTAAAGGTTTTGTCAATCCCAACTATCCAGGATTCCAGCATCTTGCCCATACTTTGGATTTTGATGAAGAAACTTTGAATAATGCTAACAACAATAATGAAGAATATGAGGTACTACATACAAAAATAAGTTTTGGGCATGTTTTAATGATTTTTTTTAAGTTGGCAGACAAATTCGACAGTGTCAATCGCCTGGACAGCGTGGAAAATATACAGAAAGTTTTTCACGAAAAATCCCTTGATCTTGATAAAAGCTTCTCAGCTGTATCGCATCCGCTTCAAGAATCCCCCAACGACTCCAACAGCGCAAATTGTGATTCCGAAAGCGAATGCGGTGGCTCCAGTGATCTCAGTGCCGTTAACGATGAAAACGGATCCACCGTGAATGAGAGCTTTAATATTCGTATCGACGAAACGAAAGTTATTGAAAGTGTTGTTGAAGGAAATACTACTGGTAGAGTAGATATACAAAGTGATTGTGTTGGAAAAGTTGAAAATGATGAGAGCAGTTTCAATCAACTGAATAATATAGTTGAGAGTGGTAGAACTGAAGAAAATAGTGTTGTGGGTGATTTTAGGAAAGAGGTTGAAGATGAATTAGAAAAAGTATCTTTAAAGGAGGTAAGTTGATAGTGTTTGTAATAGGAAACCTTATGAATTGAGCAATGTTATTTTAGCAGTTAGAAAATCTCTATAGTTCTCATTTTCCAAGAGCAACTGAACTTGAACTAGAAGAAGCAGTAGAAAAGCTCCAAGTAATCACTGATTTCCAGCCTTCAGCTGCCAAATACTCTATTGAAATTAACACCGATCAGCCATTTAGCAAAGAATCGTCTCCAGTAATAGAACAACCCTTGGTACTCCAAGATGCTGAATTAATGAAAAGCTCCGCTAAAGAAAACCCTATTATGACTAGATCATTAATTCTCCAACAAAAGAAAGAAGAAACTTTGGCAAGGATGTCTAGAAGTTTGGCCGCCAGATCCGCACAAATGATTAAATTAAAAGAAACCAAAATTGATCAAAATGGGGTTGATGAATCTATGGAAGTGGATAATCAGCCAAAAGTAAGAAACAATTTGATTACTTTAGTAGCATTGATAATCTTTTTTTCTTTCAGGATAGAAGAATTGGGAAACAAGTTCCATCTTTTTTGCTTCTAAACACCAAGCTAGCACCCGATTCTTCCCAACAAATCCCCAACCCAATTGAAAACAAAATTGCCGATGCCTCTTTATCATGCTGCCAAGAAAATCTTCCTAAGGTAATAATGGATGAGCCTAAATTTGAAAAGCCTAGCAAAATGCAAATTGATACTAAGGATGATAAAAAAATGGAAGTTGATTGTGGTCCTAAGAAAATTGACTTGGGACGACGCGATTCGAATAGGGAGCTTGAAGAAATTGAGATCCAAATCAAAAAAATTAAATCTGATACTATGTCTAATATGAAACAAATGGATATGTTTCGGAAAGAAGGTAGGTATAATGTTTTGATTGATATACATAACTTATTCAATGATGTTATTTATTTCAGAATTGACAAAAGATTTTAGAGAAAAAGATGAAGACTCTTCGGTTCTGAAGAAGCCTCTTGCAAGGATGCATAGCTATGTAAAGAAAAGGAGGGACTATAACCAACAATTCGGAAGTCTTATCACGTTCCCAAAACGAGAACCATTGAAAAGAGACCCCATGAATCGGAGATCGGTGCCTATGGGCCGAGACAGGACGAAAATGGTCAATCCTGAGTCGCTAGGTAAGTTTTTAATAGAGTTTATTTTTGTTAAGCGTAAAGGTAATCCTACCTATCTTAATGAGCTGGTATTAAAAGTAACTCTATAAATGTTTAACTGGACCCCATATAAATTACATCTCAAATCCCCAAACTAACATCGTCTCGATTCAACTATTTTCAGCAAAGCAATTCAAATAATTTAATTAAATTTGTAATTACGTGTTAATTAGGGTAATGGCCGGACGAGGGCGTGAGCGGCGCTCTAATGGCCACCATCACTACCTGGATTTTAATTGGTCCTCATTATGGCACTCTCTCTGAGGGCTTTAACATAATCCCTTTCTTGCGATTCGGGAATTAATCGGAGAATTGCAGTCGTGACGGGATCGCGTGATGTTCTAGCATCCCTTTGGTGGTTGTTTATCGATAAACGGACAACCCACGTGTTGGAATCGTTAATTATAGAGTGGAATTCTATTTTTTTTTTTTTTTAAATACTACTGTATTGGAAAATATATTATTTGATAATAAAAATAGAGGATAACCTTTAATAGGAGATAGTGCTTCGGGTAACCCTGCTCTAACACCTTTATTCAATATTAATTGTTAAACAAATAACATTTACGCGAACTTTTTATCAACAGATGACAACGGGATTATTGTGATCAGTGAGGAACAAATAATGAAGATCAATGCTGTTACAAATTAAATTGAAATTTGTTACTTTAAGTCAAGAAAACCTAGGTTCGTGGAATTCAAAAAATTAAGATAACGTGTAGTCCCTTTATGTGCAAATGAAACCACTCAAAATCCAACAAACAATAATTTTATTTGATTTACAATGTTATATAGTAACATATAGTAACAGTCAATGTTACTTTCTGTAAAATTTTAGTGTTGACAGCTTGGTTTTTCCGGTGAATCTGATACCATGTACCTTTCCAATCCGGAGCTCTTCAATGGGTGTTGGGGTTTCACTTTCGTGAACTGGAGCTTTTCGTGTTGTTTCCTGTATCCAGGAAAGAGTATAGATTGCTAGGGTGACGTCACTCCAGCTGATCCAGACTCCAAACAGTGATCTTTATGTCGAGTAGGTACCCAGAAAAGAATAAGGCAGTATCAGGTTCACCAATATTTGGAAATTTAAATCCCTGAATTCTGTCAAAAAGTGAGTGTCTTGCAAAGGAAATTGAAATTGAAATTTAATATAAAATTATTGTTGTACAGACCCTCCCTTCCAACAGAATCAGGTACGAACAGCTATTGCAAATTGAAAAAAAAGGATATTTTCATATAAAAAAAAATGATTTTTTGACCTGTTTGGATTTCTATTAAAAAATTACACCTTTTAGTCAAGATAATAATTGACAGAAAATGGCTATTCAGGCCTCTGCCTGGATTCAATAAAGAGTTGATAGGGATGGACACACAAATTTGGTTTTCACCGACTCTATTTAGAGCAAATGGTCCAATATTCCCACACTAACAATTGATTCTGAAAACCAGAGCAGCAGTACCTATTTATTAGTCCAAAAATCTGAATTGACTTACCTCAGATAAACGTGGCACTACCAATTGCACAAAATGGAACCCCACATTTAGATAAAAAAATAAAATATAATTTTTATTTTTCAAGAATAGATAAGATAAGATTTATCAGGTAAAAACTTAATAATATGATAATATGCATTGATAGCAAAATATATTGAAAAATCTATGAGGGAGAAACCAAAAATATAGAGCAAAAATTATTAAAAATATAAAGGACTTGCCTGCTATACTACTGTCGAGAAAAGAGAGCGTTTCAGAAACCAAACTCCACAGGAAAACGATCCTGTGTTTTTTTATACTTAACTGCATTTTAACCAGTTCAATCAATCAGACGAGTACACCCAAAAGATCATATTCACTTTTCAATGAAATCACAATGAAAAACCACGTGGAATAAAAGAGAATAGATAAAAATCCGCTAGAAATATTTTAATTGTTTACAAATTATAATAATTTAAATTAAGGTTATGTCAAAAATAAAAAACTGCTAATTAATTAGGTCATTAAGCCAAAAATGATTATTTCAGAATCAGAAGTTAGTTAGTTATCCATTTGCTAAAAGTGAGATAAATATAATTTCTTTGAATGGAAATACAAATGAATGTCAAAAAAAAAATAGCCAAGGAAAACTATCACAATTTAAAAAAAATAAACTCATCCGGTACTAGATGGCAGCACTGGTAAATGAATTCTAGATATTTGCATTAACGCACATGATGGATAGATGGATGGCAGCACTTGTATTATTTTGAACTTTGTGGATATTTTTAGATTATTAGGAATTATTATTTTGCTGATTCTGAAATGGAAAAAGTACAACTTTATAATGAAAATAAGAAGAGATGGAACATGTTACGTAAGCGATAAATTTATCGTAACAATGCAATAAGATGGACGAGAGAAAAGTTATGTTATAAACCTCTTAAGCTGAGAAGTAGTGCAGAACCTTGTAACACTGCCTGATGAGTAGAACATTTGCGAATAGAATTTAACCGCGCAAAAACGGGAGCGAATTATATACAGCTCTAAAGCAATAGCGCGCTATAAAACAGAGTCGAGAAAAATCAGTAATAAAGTAGACAACAGTGTGCCGAGAAATAGTGGTGAATTGAATCCAAATAAGTTAATAATCGTATAACTGTTGGAACAAAAGACCACACTGAGTTGTGATTTAGTTTTGTGACCAGTTTGAATCTTGTTAATCGAAGAGTTTTCAATATCACGTTGTAAATAAAATAAGACATTTATCTCTGGGCGTGATAGCTTGAAACTAGCCTATAGTCAATTTGCCTTTTATTATTATTACAAAATCTTCTCATATATCTTACTGTGATTTTGTCAAAATCATCAAACGTTTTGAAACAGTTCGAAAGCCGAACATGTCACACTGTTAAAATTTTAATTCCCAAAACGCCATCCATAAATGACGGTAGTCATCCGACTATAAAAGGATCAGTTTTGCGAGCAATTTACATTTTATTAAAAGCCCATGCAAATACGTATTAATTTATGCCCGGGGACAGAAACGAGGGGGCTATCCCTGGGGATATCGGCTCGTGTAGGACGTCCATTTCGGTTTTAATAAAAATCCGAACGCATATAAGGAGAGAGGGAGGATCGGTCATGTTTGAATTTAATCGAATGATGTCAGAAGACCGAAGAAATTTCTAGGAAATACGGAAAATATGGAATATTTGGTAAATATTTTGGGTGAAAGCCTGAAATAAAGGGTACCTATACAGAGTTTTCAGGATTGAGGAATTTAATTTTTAAATCTCAATTCTCTATGGCAGGAAACAAAGACAAAATAAAAAACAGCAGTTTCATCATAGCTCTATTATAATATTGGTTGACAAAAAACAACGATGAAACTAAACCAAAGTTCTTATCATTACACAAGTTCAATAGTTATGAAATTCACTATTTCACAGGTTTAAAAAAGCTATCCACACTTTTCCAAATAAAAATATTTGAGGTTTTGTATTGGGGTCCATTTCCATGATACTACATGTACCTATCTAGAATATCTTATAAGATGAGCTGTTGAGTTAACCAATAAATGTTCACGTTGCAGGTAGTTTCGATGTGTACAACATTGAAACTGCAATGCCTAAAATTGATTTGGAGGCCATTGAAAATCACCTGAAGGCTGCAAGGGAAGAAGAACGTAGGGTAAGTTTTATTAAATACATATTTTTTCCACTTCGTCATCATCATTCTGAATCTTCAAGATCATTTAGGTAGTATGATTCAATGCAGTCACCGAAGGATCACAATAAAAAAATTTAGTTCATTGTACTTTTGGAACAAATGTAATAACAGCTTATCTTTTCAAAGCATTAAGTATTAAGTAGGTACAAGATCTCCTGGTTCAAATACCTACGTTTAGTTTAGTTTTATTTTTATTCTACTTTCCTGTTGGTTCCTGTTGATCCCTCAAAATAGTTTGTACCTATTTTCGCATGTTCCTCCTATTCATTCCCTGGCTAACAATTGGGTTATTACTCGGTTAACTCTTTCATATTGCCCAATGCACAATAGCTCTGGGTGCAAAGCATTCTGAACGTGTACAATCTAATAATTTACTAGTGAAACTAATTCCTCTATCTGAAATAATCAAGGCTTTCCAATCAAACAGAATAGGTCTGTCAAACCTTTTACTGTGTCAGCCGAAGTGGGATTTCCATCACAACTCAAAGGAATGTGAATTTTATTATTTAGCAAAAGCTTTTGATACTTCCCATATAAGATTTTCATTCACAATAATGTTCACTTTTATAAAAATATGGTCTCTGGTCACTATTTCAATAAATGAAAGATCACAAATTACTCAAATGTCTATCCATCTATCCTTTTTGTTTATGGTAACATTTATACTTGATATTTAACATTGTCAGATACCTATCGGATAAATGCCCAATTTGCATTTATCGTACACAAGTTCCCGGACTACAGACGGATTATTGTTTATTTTATTAGGAAAATAAACATTTGCTTTAATAGTAGCGTAGGAGCCCGATCTTTTATGTATGACTCGAATCAACACACATTCCAGCTGGCGGTTCACGTGATATGGGTCACAGTCATCGTTTAAATTTCAGATAACTCTCTGGATTAAAATTAGAATTTGCGAGATACAAAAATGATGCTTCATTTGTGTCAATGGTAATGTATTGAGGGAAAATATTAGATTTAATACCACTTATCTCACATACTAGAAAGATGGAACTTTGATCCATAGAATTATGTAGGTATTCATTCTAATAATTAAAAGAAAAAATCAGGAAACTATGTCGGCTGCAAGTATTTGAGTCTATGACTTTGAGATTTGTTTGTTACCTAGGTATTTATATTCTTTTACCATTGATCTTGCCGTTGATTTCAAAGCTTCTATGGGGTTCATTAACAGATCCATATAATAATTTAGGCCTTATAACCTCTGTTATAAAACTTACTGATTTTTTTTGTTCTTGAAGTGGATTCCTAATTTTAGATTTCCATTATCTAATTCAAGTAACCAAAATTAAGTCAATATCTGGTAGTGAGTTATGATGGCTTGCGTACCTACCATGAGTTCAGGATAAACACGCAGCTTGTATGAGTTTTCAACGATTGTCGGGAAAGTATTGCTTATCTCGTAGTAAAACTATTGAACCATGTTTTGCTAGCAATCTTCACAGTTCTCCACCAAGAATATCTGACTGTTCCTACCCACAATGTACTATTATGATCTATCAACGTCCATGTCGTCCATTCAGTGGCGGATTTAGAGGGGGGGCGCGGGGGGCGCGCGCCCCCCCCTATTGAGCGACGCAACAACGAAATTTTTAACGAAAACACAAACATATTCATCAAGCATTATCCAACATGAAATTCCATATGGTTTTTGCTATTTTTTCCAAATTTTTAATACTTTTAAATATGTTTGGCAGCAGCGAGTTGGGAGCGAATCGACTGCGGATGGCGGAAATCCGCACCAACTTTGAATTTAATCTATAATTGATAATTCCAATTAAATTTAATATCCGATTAAATTAAATGTTGATGTCAAATGATAGTTTATGAAAATCTAAGATAGGAATGTGAAATCGGTTTTCCTCTGAAATTAACCGTTCAGGTTTTACAGCCTGTCAAAGTTGCAAAAAGTCAATGTTCAACTGTCAATATTTCCAAAACAGTTGAACTTAGGTATAGGGTATATCACATGAAATCTGCTCAGAATTTTACGTAGAATCCAAATATGCAATCACATACAGGGTGTTTTATTTGAAAAAAAGAAAGTTGGTCTAGATAGCAAACAAACCAGAAGTGACACAGGCAATACGTTTAAGTAGAATTGTGGGAAATATTAGGGACATAAAGCTACTTGAAATAATTCATCGGTATCGGTATCCGTAACGCAACTAGATACGTTGACAAGCGAAAAGGCTGTTAAAGCGCTCCCTGTTCCGGTAAACGTAAACGCATTTCATAACCTAGACATTTTTGTCTCAAAACTTCGGCGTTTTTATATCTAACCTTAAAATTGTTATTTTTTTGCGATAGAGAAGCACTAAACACAAGAAACTCAAGAAAGTATAAACTAAACAAATTAAATCAACCCGGAAGAAAAGGGAGGTTATATTCATTTGAAATTTGACACATGCGTCAGGAATGTCAAGATACGTTACCGATACGGATACCGCGAGAGGGCCGTAACGTTACGTTGTACGTACGGTATCTCGGCCTCCGTATCGCTTCTGCACATGCGCAGTACGATACCGATACGGATACCGAGCAAAAAATACGGAAGCTTTATGTCCCTAATTTACTGAGCAACTTTCATTAAGGTCACTTTTTCGTATACGAGGTAATTAGAAAGTTACAGGTATTATACGCGACTTTTTTGCCACTCTGTAGATTTAAGTCGTTTTTTTATTATTTCTTATCTGAGCCTGAGGCCCTGATGGATCGCCCCCCCCTAGAAGGAATCCTAAATCCGCCGCTGCGTCCATTTCCAGATAATCATTTTCCTCACAACCATAAGCCAAACATACAAGTTAATTACCGTGTATAACATCAATATTGAATATCGGCTGATGTACCTGACACATGCATCAGTCACTATACAAATATACCTATATATGTATGTTTAAATAGGTCAACTTGTCAACCAATGTAACACTAATAAATTATTCGAAAATGTCTAAGAGAGTTTCAATAGGGCACATGCATAGTTTAATAAATATCCGTTTGCTTTGTATGTGGCTTAATTGGCGTCAATATGCGATGTCCTAGAATCCTTGAATATACAGAGATTCGATATTTACCGGTGTTAATCTTTCATCGATTTACTAATAGACCGCAAACTAGCGTAAACTTCCTGGGCTTGAAATATAACATATTCCATTTGAAGCGTTCACAGACCGTTTGAAGGATTAAATTTGGATCATCGATCAACTACAGCTCTAAATATCCCATATCGAATTGAATAATTTTGATTCCTATAGGCAAAATACTTTTGAGCGTCAGAAATAGTCTGCCAACAGAGGTACATTTGGAACCAATTACACAAGTACAAATTATTCCATATTGATGTGCCAAAATAACTTTAAAAACTTCTGAAAATGGTTGCGGCATGACAACGTGAAATCTGGATCAATCGCAGCTCAAAACATTCTCTGTCGAAATACAAAGACGAAATTGAAATTCATCTGTATTACATTCAAGTGAGTAGGTACCTGCTTTAAAATGCCTCCAAAAAAATTATTATCGAATTTTAATATCCTATTCAAGCTATAAGATTTTGTAGAACAAAATTTGATCTAGTTGATTTCTATTTCATGTTATTCGTTTAAATTTGGAAAGGAAAACATGTTACAAATAAATTGATTTGATTATTTGAACTTTAAGACAAGATAACCTAGGGTCGTGGAATTCAAAAAGTTAAGATAACGTGTAGGTAGTCCCTTTATGTGCAAATGAAACCACTCAAAATCCAACAAACAATAATTTTATTTTTGTCATACACTCCCAAAAACAGCTATTTTACGGACTCATTCAAGTCCGTAAAATGCTTCTTTTTAGGATTTGTTTTCTATCTGGATGCACCTTTATAATTTCAAAAATTAAGGAAAATTTGCAAATTTTAACGTTCTAAAGAATTCTAAAAAGCGTATGACAAAAAATAATGTTTGTCACACGTACGTAAACGAAGATTTTCAGGACTCATCTGCTATTCCGGACTCGGCTAACGCCTCGTCCGGAAACAGCAATGATTCGTCCTGAAAAACTTCATTTTAGGTACTTCTGACAAAAATAACTATTGATTTACAATGGTATATAGTAACACATAGTCATTCCGGACTCGGCTAACGCCTCGTCCGGAAACAGCAATGAGTCGAGTAGGTACCCAGAAAAGAATAAGGCAGTATCAGGTTCACCAATTTTTAGAATATTAAATCCCTGAATTCTGTCAAAAAGTGAGTGTCTTGCAAAGGAAATTGGAATTGAACTTTGATATAAAACTATTGTTGTACAGACACTCCCTTCCAACAGAATCAGGGACGAACAGCTATTGCAAATTGAAAAAAATAAAATAATTTAATATAAAAAAAGATAATAGTAACATTAAAATAATAATAGCAAGATTAAATTTAAATGCTCGTTATGATTGAGCAAAATGCTGCTTTTCTGACAGTAGCACTAGCAGGCAAAAATATAGACAAAATAAGATAAAATTTTGACCTGTCTGGATTTCTATTAAAAATTACACCCTTTAGTCGAAATAATAATTGACGGAGTCAAACAGAAAATGGCTATTCAGGCCTCTGCCTGGATTCAATAAAGAGTTGATAGGGATGGACACACAAATTTGGTTTTCACCGACTCTATTTAGAGCAAATGGTCCAATATTCTAACACTAACAAATGATTCTGAAAACCCAGAGCAGCAGTACCTTAGTACCTATTTATTAGTCCAAAAGTCTGAATTGACTTACCTCAGAGAAACGTGGTACCACCAATCGGCACTCACACAAAAATGGAAGCCAACAATTAGATAAAAAATTAAAATATAATATTTATATTTCAAGAACAGATAAGATAAGATTTATCAGGTAAACACTTAACAATTATATGATAATATGCATTGATAGCAAAATATAGTGAAAAATCTATGAGGGAGAATCCAAA